TATATATATATATTCAAGCTATATAATGTGAAACATGCACCTTTGGTTTACGATCGGTTTCGCGAACGTACGAAGTTACTCTGGACTTGGTGGTTTCCTACGATGATATTTCATTTTTTTATATCATGTATCTTAAGATTCGTGCAACGAATAGTGCAACGATAAATGTGTCACGTACCTCGTAATTTCTTACCGGTTTATCCTTATCGCGCTCTGTCGGTTTAAACGACCAAATATCCTAAAATTACGCAGTGTAATGTATATTGTTCTAATGAATAATGTGCACGAGATTGAGAGTAGTATGTGTCATCATGTACCTGAATCTCTTCATCGGGTGCGTGTATATGTAGCTTGGTCTTCGATGTGAATGTGTTCTAGAAAGATAGTCGTTCCATATAAAAAAACAATAAAAAAATAAAATGATTGATGTAATTAAATTATGTATAAGTGTACCTCGTTTTCAATTGTTCGCGAAACGGTTCTTGGTCTAAATTCGGGTACATTCTGTAACGATGTAACATAAAACTTTCTCTCATGTTTCTTTTACACATTATATTTACAGCTATAATCTCGAATCTTTAGTTTTGATTTATATTTATATAGTGTCGATTTAAGAGATTTTTATACATAAATATCCTAAACTCTGTGTTATATATTTAGTTTATATGATAAGTTTTATAGAGTGTATGAATAAATTATATCTCTACAATTATAATCAAGTATTTATTATTATTTTGTTGAAAAATTACCTACGCTTTAAAAGCTCTACAAGAACTACGTGAAAATGATTTTAAAAACTACTTGAAGAAAAATAAATATTTTATAGATTAGATTAATACACATATAGGCTGCTCTAACAAATAATAAATATTAAATATCCAGATTTTAATACATTAAAAAACAGTTCATCAACACTAGAAGAACTACCGTTGAAAAAAAATATATGTGTGTTAATATAAAATATTAAATCCCTTCTTACGTCGATTCTGAGAAGGTATAATAATTGACTCACATTTTTTATACTTACTTTGTTTACCAAAAATTATAATTAATGGTAATAACTAATCAGTTAATCAGCAATAAAATATTTTGTTAGCACATTGTGTAACTAACTGAAAACTTTGATATATATATATTCTTTCTCACCTTTTCGACGGTCGCTTTCTTCTTTTCTATGACGGAGGATCGTCTGCTTTCCACTTTGAATTCTTCTTCCGTCTAAGTAAATTAAAAAAAATTTTGATATAAATAAATATTTAATATATATATATTGTACTAATATCTTAATTTCACAATTTATAATAACTGATATTTTTTTTAATTTATAGCTTAAAATAAGGTCAAAAAGACTTCAATTATTATTAAAAGATCAATCGTTTTTATATAACAATAAAATAATATTTTAATCTATTATTCACTCGATATTATAATTGTTTATTCCATTTAAATAATATAATAATAATATATAAGAAATTTATTTTTTTTATATTATTAATATTTTTCCAAAAAACGCGAGACAGTGTCGTGAAATTGTTTGTAATTGTTTTTGGCAATGTCTGTATGTGATACATGTATACATATGTGTATGTGTACCTTCTGTATAGAAAGACGTCGTGGTGTTGCAGTGCCATCATCCGTTATCTATATAATAATAATAAAATAAACAAAAAATAAAACTTTGTACTTTAGAAAAAAACATTTGTATCTAGTACAGAATGAACTTTTCCGCAATCATAACTTGCAAAGTTCTTAATGAGATTGAATATTATAACTTATCTCATACCTGGGTCTTGATAATCGAGCTGCGACGGCTTTCTGTCTTGAGTTCTTGCACCTGAAATATAACAATTTATCTGTAAAACTGGCCTTTGCAAAACTTTTTTACAATTATCCTTTCATATAAAAAATATATGATTCATGCTCACTTTACTGACTGACTCTTTGCGAGCTGTTATAGTTTTCTCGGATTTAGTTTCTTGAGATACCTATATATAAATAATATCACATATGTAATACAAAGTAAAAAATTAATTTACAATAAGTAGAATTGTGTGGCTATGTGATTAGTACGAAATGGCATGTGATGATAAGAAAATGTTAAAAGTGAATTATATTCACCTCTTTGGATTCGGGCTCTTTTTTCTTTATAATCTTTTTCTGGAGGAAAAAAAATTAAAATCGTAAGAGACAATTAGAATAATAAGAACAAAATTATATATATATATACACATATATAGATTTACGAAGATACCCGCACTCACCTTTTCCTCTTCTTTTTTATCTTCAACTTTCTCGGCAGGTTTTTTCTAGAAACAAAAATATAGATAATATAAATTAATAATCATATATTGTTTCCACGATAATATTTAAGAAAACTAAATATTTAAGAGAAAAAAGTAAATATCATATTATGTTCTTACCTTAATAGATTTTCTTTCTTCGACATTATTTACGATTTCTTCGTCCTTCTGCACATGCAAAAAAAAAAAAATAATATTAGTAAAGTATTTCATTTATGTAATATTTTCGAATATGCAGTAATATATAAAAAATACAACAAATTGCATCACAAATACAATTTAAAAAACTATTCAGTTTTCACTAGCAACACACAAAGTTCCGATACTCATTCCTTCCATGTTTGCAAAATTTTTCATGCACAGATATACGCAACGGGAAAAGAAAGCCAAGCAAAGATAGCGGAATAATAAGATTAAATCTTTTTGTATCATACACAGCGTTGGGTAATTTTAAAGGTACCAGCTTCTGGGATTTAAGGAGGAATATAATTTCTTACACTTCTTTAAGTTTTTAAAAAGCTGCATTTTCTAAGCGAAGGAAAATAAATATTAAAGCGTTTGTTTTTAAACATGCGATCAAGAGACTCGTTCGAAGAAACAGCGAATAAGCCGAAATTATAAGCGGATATACTGTAAAAAATAAAATAATGTAAGCAAAAATACACATGGCGCAAAACCAATAGATATTAATTGCATAAAGATAATTTTACAGCTGCAAGATAAGATCTCATAGCTAAAAGAGGAACTGAAGAAAGCTGAAAATAACTTGCGGCGGTTTACACACGTTTATATCTTGCAGATTGGCGAAATATTTTGCCAAAAGCTTCAAGCCGCGAATTGCTAAATTCGTTCAAGCAGAATTACTTTTCGAGCGCATACATTACACTAAATTTTAGCTAAAACCAAGCTTTCGATATTTCACACTCACCTGTAAAATCTCCATTTTCTGAAACAGAATATATATACTTCTTTATTTTCCTCTATATTTTATATATATATATATATATAATATCTTATATAATATTTCTATATAAGTACTTTTTATATAATACTTTGAATTATGCTTTTTAATTATTAATGATAATTATAAATTAATGTAATTATATAACTAGTCAACTAAAAATATCACTATCTACTACATATCTCTATGTACACTATGTTTAATAAAAAAAAATCTTTTATAAATATTCTGACGTGCACACAATATACATAAGCGACAAGGTAAAGGTATAACAGATGACAAAATAGACATAAACAAAAATTACAGTAGATGAACAGGAAGGTGTAAATAATAAACAATTATTATCACGGTGTAACGTGTTCTGACTATGGTGTACTGTTCTTTTTCACAGAAAGATCTTTTACTCGATTTTTCTCAAAAAATTAAAAAGAAATAATTGCATCGTACCTTCCCAATCTCTGGTTTATAGATACCATTCGGTTTCAGATCGGGCTTATCCTTGAAAATAACAAGAAAAAAATAATTTATCTTACGGAGAAAATATGCGCATAGAGTAATGATTTCAATAATAGCTTATACAAAAAAAAGCAAAAAAGAATAGTTTAAATAAATTCATATAATTATGTATAATGAAAACTTTATTCGATAATTTACTTGAAAATAAAATTAAATAGTGTAAAATTGATCTTTTATTACCAAGAATAATATATTGTTATCAAATGATGTTATCAAATAAAAAAAAAATGCTACGTAAATTGAAAAAAGACGGAATCAATATATTAGTGTTAAAGTATATATGTTTGTGTATGTGTGTATGTACCTCGACGCGAGAGATTACTTCAGAGTCCGTTTCCTCGAGAATGGCTTCTGTGCTGATAATGCTGGACTCAATTACACTCACCACTTCTTCCTCTTCTTCCTCCTCCTCCTCATATTCTTCTGATTCTTCACCCTCGTCGTCCCATATTGAACTTATTACCTTTCGTGTCGAGATAAGCGTTCAACAATATGATAATTGTCGCGTCGAGGAATCGAAAGATTGATCGTTTTTACGATTTATATAACGAACATATTTATTTAAATATTGATTATCAATCAAAATATAATTATCTAAAGAAAAATCTAAATTTATTTTCTAAAAAAATTTTCTTTTTATTTAAAACATTATTTCTCTTTTTATTATTATAATTATTATTTGTAGATATTAATAGCGAAGATAAAAAGACGTATCTCTATCTAATAAATTTTGCAAAACGATCGATCTTCCTGTATCTGTATCACGTTGTTTGTAGTCAGTGTAAGAATATTTTGTTAATCACAAGGAAATATATCGATGGGAGGAATAAAGGGAGCAACAAAAAATTAAAAAATTAAAAGAATTAAATAAAATTTTGATTGATCTGCTTATATAATCGGCCGCTACCTTCTCCTCTTTCTTTTCCTTCTTTTCCTCCTTTTTCTCTTCGACCTTCTTCTCCACCTTCTTCTCTTCCTCTTTCTTTTCCTCTTTCTTTTCGACTTTTTTCTTCTTCTTTTCTTCCTCTTCTTCGTCCTTCTTTTTCTCCTCTTTCTTCTGCAATTTAGTAAAGGGTTTGCATGCGACATGAGGGAAACATATCTCATTCACCAATGACCATCGAAATCGTTGCAAAAATATTGATTTAATTATATTAAAATTCTATAATTTAGTTTCAATCATTTAATCAAACATGTCAATTTTTTATAAGGATATTTGAATTATTTTAAAATTATTCACAATACATTATATTTCGGATTTACGAAAAAAGGGGTGACTCTTGTAATTTTAACTCAACATGCCGATTTTTCATGGAAAGAGCTAAAATTGCCTATTGCTTGTTGGATTACGGGTTCACATAAAGATATAATAGAAAAGGAATATTAACGAGAACTTGCACTTATATATCGATATAGATGTAGTCTATGAATAAAATATCATTAAAAACACACAGAATTACTTACTTTAACGACGAGTCGGGCCGACGATTCGTCTTGTCCATATTCGTTGCTCACGACAACTTTATACGTTCCCGACAATTCCGTTGATGCCGAAGTGATGGTCAATTTTATGTCCAGGCCATTAAAGGAAATCATGATGTCCTTCGACGCTTTAATGACCGTTGAATCTCTGAATTTGTATCGTAACAATTATAAAATAACCGCAAAAATTTCGTGAGAAAATTTATAATATGTAAAAAGAGAGGAAAAAATTATCGATTATAAGGTATTAATCAAATTATATTCCTCCGTAAAAAACATTAATAATTTACAGTTTTACATTCTTATGACAATAAAATTTTTGTAATATTATACATATTATAAAAATATCATGTTAGATAAGAAAAGCATTTTTTTTTTTTTTGTATTAAACGCATACCTGTACCACGTGACGGTGACTTTCCGATCTTGCGTTGCGAGAATGGCGATGAGTTCGACTGTTTTGCCTTCTTCGACAGTCTGGAAATATAAGATAGATGTATTAATTAAAAATAAAACATAATTTTAATAATCTTATTTACTCATAATAAGTATTAATCAAAAAGAGCCGAAGTGAAAATACTTACAATTGATTTAAGGCCGGTAACAATTTTCGGTTTCTCTCCTTGATCTGGAATTTCTGTTACTTCGACTACTTGCGAGGTAGCTTCTCCCTTTTCGTTGCGTGCTACTAATTTGTACACGCCTTTGTCTGTCACCGACATTTGTTCGATTTCGAGTTTGACGGCAAATTCACCCTGTGTTCGAAAAGAATAGTTTATTAAAACTCATGTCATCAAAACACAAAATAATTTTTTAAATAATGATTATAATATTACTATTATCATTACTACTTTTACACGATATATCAGTGGCAGTAATAATAGAAAAAAATAATTCTGCTTTTAAATTAAATTTTAGATTTCAAGGAAAAGTCTTTCCTCGATTATTTTGGCTTTTATTAATTTTATTGCAATGTAATTTTATATAATATATATAGGACATTTACTTCTTTGACTTGCTCGATATGTAATTTGTGCCTGCTATCCTCTTTAACGGCCTGAGTCTCCTTGAACCAGGTGCAATCGGGCGCAAATTGGGAAAGAACGTGGCATTCGACTACCACGGTCTTCTTTTTGACGATCTTCACAACTTTCGGCTTCTCTTTAATTACGGGTATAACTGAAATCAAAATTAAAATGATAATTAATGTAGATGCTCTAATTTTATTCTAAATTCACAATTTCAAATTTTTACAATACATGTTTCATATATTTTTAAAGAATTAAATATTTATAATTATTCATAATGTATAAAGTATAAAAATAGGGATTTATATAAAAAAAGTTTACAGAAATATTTTCTTATATATAGAAATTAATTCTTCACAAAAAAGATACAATTAAAGCAAAATTTAGATTACTAAATTAATCTTCTCGAATTCTTAGCAAATAGATTAAAGATGATAGTGTTATGTATGTATTATGTACAATTTAATTCAAGAAAACAACCAGAAAAAAACTTACTCTCGACGTTCAGCGTAAGATTGGCGTTGAGTTCACCGAGTTCGTTCTTGATGTTGCACTTGTAAAGGCCGGAATCGTCTGGTCCTGGATCGTTCAGGCTCAGTTTGATGTAGTAGATGTCCTCCTTCTCTTGGACGATGTTGATGGAGATCTTCGAAGACTCCTTTACCACCTTACCGGCGCGGGTCCACACGATCTGCGGTTTCGGCTTCGCCTTGACCTTGCAATCCATAATAACGAGCTTGCCCTTGTTTTGCGACTGTATCCGCGGCTTCTCCACGAACGTCGGTCCGTCTCCCTCCGGTTCCGGTTCCGCTTCGATATTCAAATTCAGATTGGCGTTACTCTCGCCGTACTCGTTCTTTACGTGACACCTATACGTCCCGCCGTCCGGTGCCGACGGATCCTGTCGTTGCCAAAAAATAATTTAGAATAATTTTACTATAAGAATTTCTAGAATATAATTAGACATCTGGCATCACAATAATTAAAGTATTATTTTTAAATTTTATGGAGAATCAAATTTATATATAAAAAATATATCGAGGTTCTAAATGTTTGAGAATTTGAGAGACAAATTTATTTTAGCATTTATTATAATTAAAAGAAATAATCAGAATTTTTTTGAAACAAGTCATGTTCAAAGAATGACCTTTATTTCCATGATAAGCTCGTAAATATCCTCCTCGACCGTCTTGATCTTGATCGAGATCTTCGACGATTCCTTGACTACGCTGGTGCCGCGGAACCACGTGACCTCCGGCTTGGGGTTTGCCTTACACTTGCACTTCATAGTGATCAGCGTACCGTTCTCGTTCGGGATGATGCGAGGTTTCTCGACGAAGGACGGAGCGAAACCCGCGCCCTCCTCTGGATCTTGGAAAGATCCATGGTTAGACATCGTCAACGAAGGTAAAGAGCGTGCTTCCGGGTGCTCAAGGACACCGGAAGCGCGATCTCCGTCGCGATCGCAGGTCATCAATGACCAGCGACCGCGTGATTTTTGATGACGTTAGTCATGTTGTTGGCAGCTCAATGAGAGTTACGAAGCGAACTTACAGAGACTTTCACGATTGGTTAGCAATAGCGCGGCTGTGCTTACCTGATGGAACCGATTCATCGCGATCTTTTCATCGAAAGAAATCGCTTGTCGCCTTTACGTATCACGATCATGGAATGTATTTTGCACGAAGAAGTCTCGAAGGGGAAAGTCGACGGGATTTATTATGGACGAAGTCGACAGAAGGGATCTCATTTTTCAAACTATTTGCATCTTCGATATCAATTTCTCAAACAAAAAAAATATGTACGAAAAATAAAATTATTTCCATTATATTAAAGTAGAAGAACACGTAAAAATATCGAGCTGTGATAGTGTGAAGAAGCGGGCACGCGTTTAATACACGCGCTAAACTTGACAAATATTAGGACACGACAATGAGAGCCCTCCCGTGCGCTTCGAGGGGGACTTGCCTTGGAAGTTGAGGGAGATGTTGGCGTTACTCTCGCCGAAGTTGTTAAAGGCGTTGCAACGGTAATTTCCACCGTCGGCCTTGGTCGGATTCGAGATCTCGAGGGTCAGCAGGTACGCGTCCTTGCCGGTGGCCTTGCGCAACATTTTCACGCGCTTGCTGTCGGCGATCGCTTTCTGACCTTGGTACCACGTTATGTCCGGCACCGGGTGTGCCTCCAGGATGCACTCCATGATGAGTACGTCGCCCTCCTGGCGAATCGTTGGTTTCTTCGGGAAGCGCGGCGGCTTACCGTCTGGTATTCTGCGTAAATCGACACGTCAGACATCGAGAAACGTCGACTTCGCCATTAAACGGACGAGCGGAATGTAAAGTCTTTCTGATGGACGACGTCGTTTCTTATCTACAAGTTCCGCCTGCCACGCAATCCGGATATTATCGAAGACGTGGCGCGATGTTACGGAAAAGAATCGCACACAAGCGTTCCTTCTCTTTTAATCTTAATCTGCCAAAATTCTTTAATCGGATAACAGATTTATGTTTTTCTAATTCAAAGGAAGCTTGCAACTTTTTTATATATCTTGTATACAACTATTCGCGGACTTAGATAAGATACAAGTTGTCATAAAAAGATTTGTGAAAAGAAATTTTTGCTTGGATAATAATATTTGAAAGAATTTTAAAAATCGATCAGACATCGAGAAACGTCGACTTCGCCATTAAACGGACGAGCGGAATGTAAAGTCTTTCTGATGGACGACGTCGTTTCTTATCTACAAGTTCCGCCTGCCACGCAATCCGGATATTATCGAAGACGCGGCGCGATGTTACGGAAAAGAATCGCACACAAGCGTTCCTTCTCTTTTAATCTTAATCTGCCAAAATTCTTTAATCGGATAACAGATTTATGTTTTTCTAATTCAAAGGAAGCTTGCAACTTTTTTATATATCATGTATACAACTATTCGCGGACTTAGAAAAGATACAAGTTGTCATAAAAAGATTTGTGAAAAGAAATTTTTGCTTGGATAATAATATTTGAAAGAATTTTAAAAATCGAAAAAAAAAAACACTACAAAATTTTATTTCGTTTTGTCGTAAATTTTGTTTCAACGTAAAACAATCCATTACACTTGACATCACGTTACTCGTCACATTTTGCGTTGTAAAATTCGAGCCTAATTTGTGTTAAAGCGCAAATTTCCATCACGTCGCGTCGGATAATCGAAGAAGCGCGATTCGCGCGGCGTGGCAGGACAATATGTCAATAATAAATTTCTCTCTTTATCTCCCGATGCCTACTTGAGCTTGTCGCCACCCTCGAAGTTTAGATTAATAGTTGCCACCCCCTGGCCGTGCTTGTTCTTCGCCACGGCCCTGTACTCGCCCGCGTCCGCCTTTGCCACGCTGTCGATCCTCAGCCTCGCGAGGTGATACAGCTTCTGATCGAGCTCCAGAGACGTGTTGAATCGTCCGCCTTCTTTCACCTCCTCGGTACCGTGATACCTGCGTGATCGCCGCCAATGTGCCAAGTCCAGGTATCCGTTGAATATCAATTTTTGCATCGCGGATCGCGAACGCGCGCTTGGAAGTATACGTTTATAAACTTTGAAACGTCGAAGAGAAATTATTGAGATCGTCTTGATATATTAATATATTAATCATTTATAAATATGAAAATATCCGCCTCAACAATCGCAGTTTTAAAAAGATTCAAAGATAATTTTTGTTTCAGCGAAAATAATTTAATATGTTATTTTTTTTTTTCTTGTCGTTAAATATCTTTAACTCGGAGATCTTTTCCGATACGTTTTTCAATGTACTTCCTTGCGCGCGTCACGAATCTCAGATCTTACCACTTGACACTAGGTTTCGGATCGCCGACAAGTCGGCATTCAAAGGTGATGGTGTTACCGTCGTCGGATTGTCTTATGACCGGTCGTTCGGTGAAAGTCGGTTTAATACCGTCTTCGGGTACGGGTGCCTCGTCGCCTACGTTCGACACAAACGATCGACATATCGAAAATTGTTCGTCATACTTCTTGCTCGCCTAATCAAACCTTTCGCTGCGATTGATTAATGTCAGATTCGCACGTCGTTGTGCGAAAAAGAAGAAAAATAATTTTTTTTTTTTTATTTTTCTCCAAATTACTTTAAACGGATTGTTTGCACAAAAAGAAATAAAAAAATATAAATGAAATTCCGGAAACAACTTGCCTAAATTGCAGAAATAATTTAACAGCGAAAGGATTAAATATGCGAAACATTTTACAGTTTGATGCGAGATCGGGAGTCACGTATCGATTTGTGGCGCGCTTGAATACTTTCTTCAAGTCTGTAAGATATACTGTAAACATTTCTCTACATAGAGAATAATTCCGCACACAGTTTAATTAATATTAAATCAATATTTTACATAATCGTATCGCCGCATGTAAGGAGCGCGCTTTCAAGGATCATGATCCTTGCTGACAATGAGACCGACATCTTGTAAATTAGGTTGCTTTCTCTACTTCTCTTCTGCCATCTATTCGCGATGTCTCGCTTTTGGTAGAGTATAAAATAGTGTTGTCCAAGTGTCATCTGCTCCATTTTTCTTTCCCACGGCTTTGATGTCGCTCGCGGTTAGGTAAAAATAGAAACACTGCACAGTTATGCACAAGCTTTCGTCAAACGCTGTTTGCGAGTGAGTAAGTGAAAGTGATGTAATATGTATGTATATCATCGTGTATAACAGTATCCTATTAATCGAAAAAATTTAATTTTGTCGTTTTGGCAACTTTCAAATGTATTTGACTAAAAATCGAAAATCAACCACCATGGAATATATGTGTCTCTATGTTGTGTTTCAATGTACGTTAACGTTGGTATTAATCAGAGATGTGAATATATACAGTACGACAAAACACATAAAAAGTTTCAAACATCTGTTTTACTCATAAAAAATCTCTACGAGCGAATTAGAATGAAAATGACTACTGAAGCACGTGACGGAAGACAGATGTGAGTATATATACAATATTAGAACCGTCCTCGTTAAAACTACGTGGATATCTTACTATTTGTAAAAAATATTTCCATACTTGCCATAGTTTTTTTATTGTAATTCGATATAATACATACAATAGATCGTCAAAAATATGCCTAAAATGCACAGAATACATTTTCTTTTTATAAATTATAATTTTAACTAATAAAATTATAAAAATTGTTCTTATATATTTAGTGCTACATATGACACGTATATTCAATAACTATATTAAAATTTAAATTTGTAATATAATTATAATCACAAAAAATATAACGTTTAAAACTGTCTATAAATAAATGTATGCAAGTAAGGAAATACATGTCGTTAGTGGATCTAACCATCACAGAAATTCTGTGTAATTGTATTTGCGTGTACATATGTGTGTGTGAGCGAGCCTTGGATGACGCACCCGTTCACTGCGAAAGGGTGGTTTTCTCGTCAACTCTCACACACAACACAAACACGATCGTATGAATAGAGAGAAAAGATGTCATCGAAGCAACCTAACGAAGCGTCAATATGGAAGGCTAATCTGCGATCGCATCTCGTGCATAAATAAATACGTAAATCTCGTCTCAGAATACGAGTGCATACGAATAAGTCTGCTGCTGATCGGTACGCGCGAGATGCGATTCGAATTAATACGTGATTGAAGCAGCAGTATACACGTTATTACGAGTAGTTGATTATTCTGGTCCGCTCTCTACGCAACTTTCAACGGTGCAAAATTCGTGAGAGACAAATTATAATGTGTACTCTCGCAAATGCCGTTTAGTCGATTAAAGATCAATCAACGGGCTGTATATCGTGGCTCGCGTCGAGCCGACATCGATACGTGCTCATCGCTCGACCGAGACAAACCATTAAAAAATAAAAAGATTCCGCATATATACAATAGTTACAAAAATAGTTACAAAAGAAAGTAGAAGAAAGAGATTGTTGAGAATGGACAGCTGATGGAACGGAAAAAAATTAAATAATATAAACTGCGGATATATATGTACATATGTTGGTGTAGAGTTGACATATAGGAAATAGATAAACAGGGCAGAAAACTGAGATGAAGAAGAGAGTTGGAAATGAAAGAGATCATCGATATACATCCCGAGTGAGAATGTGAGAGAAGAGTTGAGGAACGGTACCGATGATACGCTTTATCTCCCGCTACGAAATAAAGCGGGAAAGAATAAAAAAATATATTTGTTATCTTTCCTTCAAAAATTCATTAAATATTCCTTAAGAGGCTATTAAAAATAATATAAAAAAGAATTTTTAAAAATGATTAACAAAAATTGTAATGGAAATATTTCAATAATATAAAAATTAGACGTTTTGAAGGTTTAAAATTAAATTTGAGAACAAATTTGCAGTCTAAGTGCAAGTAAACTTGTTACTCATATATAACAATCACAAAGATCTATAATATTCATCAAGCGTATATATTTGTAAATAAAAAATTAAGCAAATGGACAAAATGTGTAAAGCGGATCATCGGTCGAAGTATGCACATAAGTTTATGGTTATTTATCGCAAGAATAACAGATACTTACTGTCGAAATTCAGGGAAATCGTAGCGTTAGATTCGCCAAGCTCGTTCTTCGCCGTGACCTTATATTTGCCAGCATCCTCGACGGTCACATTTTTTATTTCCAGGGTGGCGAAGTACGAGTGGCCATCTTTATCGACGGTCAGCTGAAACGGTTCAAATAAAACAAATTTTCGATAATAATAATCGTTTAATCGATAACGAGACGACAAACCTTGTGCCTTGACGAATCCTTGACCATGTTCCCGCTATGAAACCATGTAATTTTCGGCGTGGGATCGGCTGTGATGCGACACTCGAAGAGCAGCCTTTTGCCGTCGTCCTCCTGTCTTATCGCGGGCTTCTTCGCGAAAGTCGGCGCGATACCGTCAATTTGTCTGCAAGCGCGAGATAAACGTGGTGGACCGGAAATAAATCTCGCGCCAATTTATCGTTCGCTAACGCGTTAATCGTCGCGCCGCGATTGCATCGCGGACCATGGTGCGAAAATTTGGATGCTGCGTCACGTGCTGCACGCTCCGCATCACCGACAATTTTAATCGCACTTCCGGCGCGACCGGTAACGCGTCAGTAAACTGAATGACTTAAAATCACACACGTCGTTACAAAAAATCGCATGCCTCAGATCATAAAAATGGTATATAAAATGATGGTTAAAAATTAGAACATTACACGCCTTCGTTTATCTGACAGAATAATTAAAGTTTTTTTTTTCTAGAGAAGTTAGATAAGAGTGAGAAGATAAGAAAGATAGCGATGCTTGGCAAGGCGAATAAGAGAAGAACCGCTTTGTGTGGCCGTTGAAATTCTGCTAAAACATTTATCGCGACTTTCGCGAATTGCTGCCAGGAATAACTTTTGTTTTGTTTAGTCGACGCTTTCTGACGGGAGGAGGCTCGTTCAACAGCTCGTTCTGATGGCCATTCGACATTTAACAAGCACTTTAAAATCCGAGTTGGGTACATTGCCATCATAATCGATATTCTTTCTCTCTCTTGGCAATATTTTTGTTGATAAGTCAATGCCTTAAGTATCTGACTGAGACTTTTCAGAAGATCCATAAAGTTCTGGACTTGATGTAAGTTTCACACACACACGAAATGATTTCCTCTATAAAATTTTTATATTCATACTTTTTAACGTTCTCTGATTTTTCTTCAAAAAGCGAGGATTGATGACTAAATTATATTATTATATATTATTATAAATCAACCGATTATTTACGACTCGATCTCCGAAACTTTACCGTAAAAATGATAGAGTGTTATTTGCGCGACAATATATTTAAAGATAAAATGATTACGACTATTCTGACGACCGTTGATCGCTCTTTTCAAATTTTCTCTTTATAGCGGAATCCAGCGTAATCCAAGTTATAAGATCGTCGGTGTTTATTCACGCAAATTGGGAGCCAGGACGAGAAGCATGTGTTTAACACTCGCAACATGAGTGGACCATAAGTGCATTAGCACCGGTGCATGTTGTGGCTAAGTTTAGCGAGGAAGTAGGCTGCGGCTGTTTCCTCTCGACTTTCACCGTCGTTAACCGGTACAGATATCGGTACGTTTTCTCGCAATCTGTGAGCTTTCATTTTCGATCAAACGTTTGTTTTGATTTGCAGAATAATAAGACTCGGATACGTGGATTCTCGCCAAAATTTCGCGGATTACACGTGAATGACGCTTTCGAGTTATCCAAAATCTTATCGTATGCATCATGAAATACAAATCGTGATGCGTTTTGGGAGACGCGTAGAAACGAAAAGCCTCGCGTTACTTTTAGAAATTCACGGGAATCACGTCTGTCGATGCGATCCGAAAATACAGCTTCTCATCGTATCGTCGCTGCCGGCTGCGACTTGAGAGAAAGAGAGAGAGAGAGAGAGAGAGAGAGAAAGAGAGAATCGTTGAAAATATTCTCGACCCAGTTTCGAATTATCTTCGAAAATCGCATAAAGTTGCACCAAGATGCGGAATAACTGCAAGAGGCACGCGAAAAGAGATTTGAGGACTGATAAATGCTTTCCGCTCGCAAAGATTGCATAAAGATCTCATGAACGATTTAACAGCTGCCCCGCAATAGTAAATCATTGTTATTATAATTAAACTATCGCGATGAGACAAAAATAACTTCTTGCGCAAGTTACTTTACGATCGACTTACGCGATCATTGAAGAAAATTAACTTTTCATTTAAAAAAATATAAGATATATGAAATAATAAATAGTGTTTTGCAAGTAAATAACGAGAAGAAAAATTCACTATACATACGTTATTTATTTCCTAGAAACAGAAATGTTAAATCTGCATTTTAGTTTAGAAATTGATTGAAATAAACATTTTCAAGATTAATACTCAACATTTTTTAGAAAATTTTGTGATACAAAATCCTCTGTGATCTTTCATTCTCTCGTTCTTCAGATTTCGTCAGCTGTAGTACGATCAATCTTCCGTCTTTTTCGCTCTCGATCATAGCTATGATATAGACAGATCGTAGTTCGTACGTGATTTAGTGGCTTCTTACTTACAGAAGACAGCGTCCGAAATAATCCGGCCACTTTGTGGTCGAATCGCGCGCGCAATGCACGAACGGTGTCCAAAACTAGAAGACCTTAATTCTATTTCCATCCGTGTTTCGCGTGCGCGGTTATATATGCGTGGGCGGATCGGTAAGAAACGACCGATCACGTCGTCGGACTTAAACGCACGGTGAGTCGCCGCAATTTCTATCGGATTGCTTTTGAACGAGATCGAAAATAGTAGGCATACCGCGACGATTATTCTCAATCGGGCCGATTTAACGCGCACTCGAACGTTATCAGCGAAGAGATAGCGTAGCAATCAGTACAAATGAGGAATTTAAAAATCTCTTCATGTAAGCCTTTCATATCTTACATGTTACATTTTCCGAATTTCATGTCAAACTTCCAGAATTTCTTCAACAATAAATTTGGATTCGACATTTCTTTCGCGAAAGATTCGAGATTTAACTTAAATCGAGACATAATTTAATGAAGAAGTTGAATGTTAACATTTAATGAAAAGATTTAAAATCAAATGTTTGAGAAATAAAAAATTGAATTTGGAAAATTTAAATATACGCAGACCATATTATGACATTTGTTTCTTTTGGTATTTCCACCACACACATTTGGTATTTTTTTTTTTTTTTTTTTAAATTTAGGGATATGGATAGTACAATGTTATCAAGTTATATTAACAATTTAATTATTGATTGATAATCACACTTTAATTGCAAAAACAGCGCGTAAGCGACACACTCACCTCCTTCCAATAGATTGATCGGCAGCTAAAATCATAAATAAAAAAACGAAAGACAACGAAAAAGGAAAGCAGAAAAAAAATAAAGCAGAAATATAACAAAATAATAAAAACGTATTAATGCGTAAGCGAAAAGCATAAAACGAATTAATTAAATAGAGCCTGGAGAAGCGACAAACGAGTCATCCTTTCAATGTAAACTTCACTGACTTACTTCTCTCTAGGCTCATCCATTGCTAGAAAAAATATAACGGCGAAATATTAATCAAGAAACGATCAAATTTAAAGAAATTACAAATAAAAAATATTGTATACAGGGGCAAATATATATCAATCAAGAGTCGATATTTAAGTGTGTCAAAATTTGTCATTTTCCACATTTAACGTAAAATTAATTCCGACATTATTTTTATTTAAAAAAATAAACACTCGTTTTAAACACTATAATTAGACAGTTTGATGTTCATTAATTTTAATCATATAACTTAACTGATCTTTTTCTAAAATCAGAAGTAGATAAAGACAAATATAGGCCGGCCACGAATGGAATATATCTCGCATAAATTAGACTAGATAATTATTTTTATATAAATATCGCTATTATTCGAAGAAATACCGCGAGATGAGAAATAATCGGTATATAAAAACTTACGACTAAAATTGAGGTTGATAGAGGCGGCGACCTCGCCCATCTTGTTCTTCGCCTTGACCTTGTAGAGGCCGGCGTCGGTCTCGATGACATCGTCGAGTTCGAGCACCACCAGGAACTTGTTGGTCCCGATGCTCTGCATCTTGAAGTTGGTCCTGTCATCCTGGCTGAGCTCGGTCTCGCCGCGGAACCAGGCGATGTCGGGTTTAGGCGAGCTCACCAGCTGACATTCGAATATCAGCCGGTTGCCGTCGTCCTCCTGCCGCAGCTGCGGCTTCTGCGTGAAGCTGGGCGCGAAGTCGTCGGCGACCCCCATTGTGGAGGCACGCCTTCGCACCTGTCTCTACACACCGGGACACCCGGTCTCGTTCGCGTGATCGAGGGAGAAATCTGTTCCCTTCGCCTGGCACGTCGGTTCAAATGGCGCCGACCTGCGGCACCATCCAACCTGCTTTCGCGGTTTCTTCCTGAGCTCGATGTCTATCGTAGCTCGTCAATCGCAGACGTCTCAGAGTACTGAAAACGGAAGGAGATTAAATAAAATTTTAAAAATTATTACGCTGTTTTCAATAACGCTTTTAAATAAATTATTATAGAAAATGATGAATAACAACGCCACTTTTTTATATCAGTAACTTTTAAATAAATTAGTAGAAGAATGGAAGAAGAATAATAGAGAGAGGTCTGTTTGTAAATCGATATATTCTCTTAATAAAAATTTCATTATTTTCTCTCTTATAACATTTTTTTATGTAAATTTCTACATAAATAATTATAATTATGATTTAATTATAATTTAAGTTATATGCACAATTGAGTTATAAAATTAAAAGACAAATAAAATTAAAAAAACAAAAATATAATATCGTTATTTTTTTTTATTTCTGATATTTTGCGTATCAAAAGCTTTTAATTTCTTAAATGACTATTGTCTCGATATCGAGATAACTGTTTGTCTGCTTCACTTGTATTTGCAGTTCAAAGTTCGACATGACAACATCAATATTACTTCGAGCCTCTTGTTATCGTGGTTCAGTAAACCTTGGCAGCCTGAGTCGTTGTCACCTGTAGTTGCCTCAACCGCGGCTATTTTAGCACGAATGCCTATATTTAGTCTTCTTTAGCGTTGCCTTATGATCGGAGCACCACGTAATAAAGTTTCTACTTGCAATAGTATTCATTCTAGACGAATAAATACTTACGTACGAAACTTACAGATTAGAACAATTTTTAAATCTCAGTTATTATACAAACTGCGAAAAAAACTCAGACATAAAATTGCGAGAACGTTAAAAAAGGTCGGCTAAAAATAAATCATGTATTCTATTTAATATCGCAATAAAATGCCTTGAAGCCAGTACTTATGATACTTGATAGTTAAAACAGGATGATTTTTAAAAATCTCGGTTGTTACTAACTGCAAAAAAGATCCAGCTGTACGAATATAAAATCTCGAAAACGTTAAAAAAAAAACATTAGCTCTTAAAAAACGAGTCACGCATTCTCGTTGATATTGCGATAAAACATCCGTCCCGGATGTCAAGATCGACTTCGGTCTCGAGGGAGAGGCCGCCAGGAAATGGCGAAACGAGGCGACGCCTCGGCCGCAGACGGTGAAAAAACGTCCAGAAATGATTTATCGCGTGCAATAAATTCAAAATACGCGTTTACGTAATTCAAGGAAACGCGAAACGATTCGAAATCGCTCTTGGCCGTAAGATGCGATCTCGCGTTTAAGATTTTCAGCTACTGCTGCTACCGAAAATGCGAATCCCTCCAAAATAATACGACGGTAAATAATGCTTGTACGTGCTAACCGTTCCGGTAAGGTTTATAGAGCGAATAGAGGACGCTATAGCAATATATTTTGCCGAGCGTGTCTGTATTTTCAGATCGCTCTGGAAGTGGCGGAAACAGAAGTTTTCCGAGAACTACGCCGGGGTAGTCGTACATGTGTGCAATGATATCATGTCATAATCATATCTTGAAATACACAACTAAAATCAATAATCGATAGAAATTGTAAACACAATTTGATATTATTAATTTACTGCTTGCATAAAAACATACGAACGTATCAACGACTGAAATTACTAATTATAACTAGATATAAATTTATTCTATCAATAATAATAATTATTCGCTCTCTTTCCATCTCTATCTCTTTGGCATTATAAAAAATATAAGAATCGTAATAAAGGTCCATAGAGAGACATAAAGTCTCTAAAAAAAGACGAATTATAAATTAATTTGGCGTCGATCTATTAATATAATAATACCACGCGTGAAATACTCGACGCGTGTGAGCGACGCCTGCCTTCCCTCAAGCGCGTTGCGTCGAAAGGACTTTATAATTTACAAGTGTCAGGCCTATTTTCGTCGGGCCGCCCGAATCCTCACCGGTGAAGAACCATTAGCATCACCGCGTTTAACTGCAAATTGAGCGAGCAGCGAGCGCGAGCGGCGAGTTTTCTCGCGAAATTCGCGCGAGCGGGTGTATTTTCCCGCGACGCCCCAAGGCCGAGGGAGCGAGCCGCGCTGGGTGACGTAAGGCTGACTATTATTAATGCGGCTCTTGGCTCGAAAATAGGTTGGGCCAGTTATCTTGGTAATCGGTTATTATGTTTGGCATCTAACCGTGGAAGCCGTGTACATTTGGGTCGCCGATACAACCCGTCGGATGTAATATGTTCGTTCGCTCAAGTCCGGACAATCGTTCTTTTGAGACCCCGAGATCGTCGCGCGACACCTCCAAGTGCCAGGAGTGTCGATTCCTAAACGATCGTCAGCTACAGCGCAGCGTGAAAATGATTTTCGCGTGACGTATCGCGTGATAGCTTGACGTACAATAACACCTGCAACTGTTTTCCCGCACCTTGATTAAGTACATAATATTTCTTGATAAAACATGCCTCATTCTCGTAGTTACGTATTGTCGGGTACAAAAATAATAATTCTATTCCAAGAATCAAACTGAAATTGTGTGTTGACTTCGAGTAAATATATGTGAAATTAATAAAAAAGAAATAAACAAAGAATAACGATAACCCGGCGACATCTATAAATTTCTAGCTGCTCGTAAGTATAAAATTATTGATATCTAACATAAAATTGAAATCTATGAATAAATCATCCACTACCACAAAAAAGATATCAATGTAAACAAAGTTTTAAAAAACAACAAGAAAAATATTGATGTATCTATATAAAAAGGATTAACTTTTTAATTATTTTACTTTCCGAAATATATAGAAAAAAAAAATAGTAGTAATTTCGACGTACATGAATGGATTTCAAGAGTAATATTGCAAGCTTAATTGATCTCAGGCAATTGTACAATTTTCAACGACTATCATAAATGTAAAATAAGACAATCCTCTTGAATGTGCGTGATCGAGAAGCTTTGTAACTGTCGGCAATAAATAACAATCGTTTCGGAAAGTATGAATTAGTTTCACGTGCGCCCGCGCTCTGGGAAAAGACTGCCAACTACAAAGGTAGACGATGGGACATGACACGGTATCCTTCCGGTAATGTGAGATCCACGTAATTGGTCGGCTGCCACCGTTCAAGCCGCAAAATTGTGAAACAAATCATCCGATTATGTCAGCTCCAGCCAGGCGATGGAAACATGATACGCCTGGCTGTTCGCTCGTGCCGAAGGGTGCCAAATAAACAAGCCATTATGCATAAAAGAAGCCACAAATTTGATAAAATCAATGTTTCAAACGTACGAAAATTTAAATTCTATCTCCGTCATCGTTTTAGATCGTTCTTCTCGCGAGAAGAACTCCGGAGGCAAGCTTACTTAATCTTTAATTTTAACAAAATTCGTAATAAAAGAAGAGACTAATTAATAACAAGAGCATTAAATATTATTACGATTGTATTTTAATATAAAGATAAGATATATGTATCGTTGACACACGCGGTTCTACAGCCAGTGGTTGATCATTTTAAACGAGAGCGAACAGATGCACGCGAGAAGGAGTCTGACGGATCGGCGAAACGGCGTACAAAACGAACGGGGACCGGGTGTTACAACGTCACGGTAAGACTTGGCAAACGGCCTCGTATGCATTCCCGAGATTACTGCACATCGTAATAGCTCGCATTCCTCTTTCGCCCGTCTGATTTTCGCACCGCGGTTGTCATCCGACCGATCCATCTTTCGGAAAGAAGGAAAAAAATAGATAAAAATAATCAAGAGAATTATATTTGTATTATAAATCATACGCTTTCATAACGAGATACTTTGAAATAATGATTAAAATCAGTTAATCAGCATATTGATCTTATCTAAATTTTACAGTTCAATCTTTTTATTAATTTAAGATTGCATTGCCTTCTTAATTCTTATCAAACGTGTGTGTTTATTTCTCTTGATTTATATATATAATAATGTTGCTGATTTTTAAAAATTAAATAAATAATGTAAAATGATTTAAATAACTAAAAAGAGGCCTTGCAATTCATGTATACTATATGTAGAAAGAGAGATCCTTGGTTTTTGTTAGAACATACATTTTTAACAAGAAGACATTATTTATGGCAAGCGAAAAAAAAAAAGAAAAAAGAAATGGTCGAAGAACGTCGAAAACATCATCTTAAATAATATACATCGCATTCATTTTCAAACAAGAAGCGTCAGAAAAATAATTTCTGAAAACGTAATTCGTGAAAATATCGATCGAGAAATATACTATTAAATTCTTGTAATATAGACGCGTTGTATATGAGAAATGTTGTCGGCATCTCCGACTGACCTAATATTTTTGCTGGCTATATAGAAAACGTTGCTTCACTTTGGCATAATTCTGCCGGCTATTTGTGATACAATGCATATTTGATGACATTGTGACCCAATAAAGAAGTAGCACATTGCCATTAAATATATAATGGATGCTGATCTAATGAATAAAAAATCTGAATAGATATATTGCAGTTAAAATAAAGATAAATACACAATTTATCTTGTTTCAAAAAATATATGTGATAAAAGCAAGATACAAGCAACATTACGATATCTATTTTATAATTAGTAAAGTTAATTAATAAGAACAAATAAAAGATAAAATAGGAAAATATAGATAGAAACACATTTAAACTAAGAATAGAACGCTGCAGTATAATCTCACGTTGAGAATAAATGTCCACGGTATCTGATAATGAACCGGTATACCTTTAAAATGGCGTAATTACTTCTGGCAAAGCTCTAAGCCACGTGGGTCGAAACAATTTCCTTTCCTTGCCATCGTGAATTTATCGAGCATCACGTGTTTATGTGCCTACCCCAAAATAAAACGCACGAAATAATCGAATAATTTAGATATTATAAAATTTAATGTGACATCAAAATTTTTGTCAAAATACACATTCGTGTATAGAACTTTAAATGAAAATTACTAAGCATAAATAAATAATCCTCGATATACTGCGTTGCATCTATTTTAATCGAACTAACTGTATCATTTATAATCATGACTAACACGATTATTATGACACACATATTAACCTTCAACAATCACGTGAAATGAGTAATTCGAAAATTTAGCAATCTGTATAACGTACTTTGTCGTGAGAGAATGATTCATATTTTGAATGTCATACTTTTCTTTAGAAAGAAAAAAATATATAAAAAAAAGTTTTTACAATTATACAAAAATATTTTAATATAATGGTATCTTAACTGGTATCTAAAGTAAAATATTTTAAATATTATTGTCGTATATATATATAATTTTCCTAAAATCTTTGCTTTAATTAATATATCATAAATTTGGTTTTTGAATAAGAAAGATTAGATTACACTAATATTTTCCAAACCAAATTGTTGGGGAACATAATCGAGAATCCGAATTTTAAAATCTATCTTTTCGAGGATTTTAACATCGTTTGAAAAAAATTGTTGTCACGTAAACAGCGATTCACTTCTTCACACTCGAGTTACATTCGGAACTAAACTATTCGCGAGAGTTATAATTATTAGTCGAGCGATGCATTTTCGCGGGCGCACTCTTTTCTGTCTATACTACTGACCGCGTTACTTGCGTCGCACCGTGATCTATTTTCGCCGACTGACTCAAGCGAGTCGGCACTGAAATCACCGATCGACGTCCCGATCTTTTAGCGATAAAACGTGAGAAATCGTATAAACAGACGTACTCGACTTTTTGGCAGAACGATGTAAATTAACATCGCAGCGTTGAAACAGGATTCACTTGGATCGTTTGTAATAACAACATGTTTTATATTATTTATATCAAAAAAAAATAAAATAAGAACTATTTGACTTGTTTAATTAAATAAATAACAATATTGTTTAATAAACAATAAGAGAAAAGCAAATTAATATTAATAATTTAGTAAGTACCTGAGTAAAAATATAGAGAAGAAGAAATAGAAAGAGCGAGAAAGAGAAATATCTATACTAATTAATCCTATCAAAAGGACTCAGTTTTTATCTTTGCGTGAAAACGGCATTCATATCCATTTACATAAGACTGACTACTATAATCTGATAAATCCAAATGATAAATTTTAAAACATCCTCTTTCTTTGACTTGACGTGACGGAAAATAAACACGCATCAACATCGAATGATCGAACACTATGACGAGTAATACGCATAATACTCCGCTTATTAATTTACGCTGCTTCGGAAAATATATATGGATGTTTCTCTTATGAAAATGTACGCACAAAACTCATTCGGCAATCAAAAGAGAGGACATGGCCTCGAGAAAAAACGCCCGACAATATCAACGAGCGAGAAGAACACTCAAGAGGTCTAACATTCAAGAATCTCAATTAAATTATTCTAATGATACATCTTTTGTTGTAAATTTAATCTCTTTTCTGATATTTCATCGCGAAACTACGAAGGAATTTACTTACGCTCTTGCCTCTGCGCTCAGTCATCGACGACCAACTCCAATGTTCATCTAATATGCCCTGCACTTGTAATGAAAGAAAATCATGAACACAGATTGTTTCCTAAATCGTACTTTTGTTATTACTTGTAGATTCAATTACTCTTAAACAGCAGTCAAGTAAATGAAATGGAATAACTGATTGAAAGGAGATATTGATATATCTGATAATTGAGACATTAATTATAAAAAGGTCAATTATAAAGTATTGAACAATTCAATATAAATAACAAAAAGGATATGTATATCACATGGAAATCTACACTTCTCGGTTGTTGCTATTATTTGTTATAAAATGTAAGAATTAATAATACGTTATACGCGCGACTTATTAATTATTTTTATCATGATTAACATTGATTAATTATGCGCAAACGGAGTTGACAAATTTGTCGGTTTGAATCATTGAACAATGACAAGCGCAATGCCAAGAATAATATATTAGTCACTTCATATATTGATCGTGACTGAGTTTTTGACAATCAACAGGTGAAACGTGCCGCTTGGCCGACAATACGTCCAGAAATACATCGATATACATATATGCAACCACATCAAGTGATTAATCAGTTAAAATTTATAGATGATTACAGATGAATATTTTTGTATCTAATAAGATCAATTATTTGGTTATAGAATAGTTTTTATATACCATTCAGGAAAAAGACTAAATTTCTAAAATAAATGCAAATTTGAGGCTGAAAAAATTTTCAGGATTCAAATATTAATGAAATCATCATTAACATTTATAACTACCAAAAAAATTAGAATTAATCTTGCCTAGCTGTTATAAGATAGCTTAATTAAATTTTTCTCAGAATTATTTATATCTCGATGTTATTTTTAAATATTTTATATCAAAAACAAATATGGGAATTATTTTCTTTGTAATAGAAAATTATATAAGCTTATAACTTGTATTTAAACCTAAATCTTAATCTAATTTAATATAGTATATTAATAATTGTGTAGATATTTTTAACGTTAAATCATGTGGATCTCGCACAGCGGAGATTCCAAAAATACATCTAACTCTAACGATTGATTTAATATCGATCTATTAGTCAGATTTTCTGGATTTCTCCACGGTACGCGTATCGATTCGTCTTTTTCTCGTGCTCTCATTCGACCAGCTCTCTTCCCCGGATTCGTCGAATCTCGCGGAACTTGCGGTATGCAGGATATTTTTAAATCGCTCGAGCACATTCTTGGGTTCTAAGTGATTGCAAAGTTGGTGGTAAGAACTATAGCACTTGTCTACAACGGCGAAAACAGCGAGACTCAATTTTATATAAAGTTAGCTTCCCATTTTCATAAAATTTCGATATAATTAATAGAGATCCTAGCTCTTTCTCTCTCAGAGAAAATTTCCGAAACGTTGCAAAATGAAGTATCAACATGCAACTTAATCTTCGAAAATAAAATAAAATATCGATAAAATAAAATAAAATATCGCTGTACACAAAAACGTTGAATTGACGATTGTAATTATAATGACATGCATGATGGAGGAAAACATAGTTAAATAAGACTGTCATTAAAGTCTCTCAAAATTGACGTATAAATACGAGCTGCGAAAGATTGTCAACGCGAAGATGAGGCGGCAAATGATGCGTCGGACAAAGTGTCGGACGGCACGATGACGTGAGGATGGACGGAACGACGGATGGAACAACGACGGGCGAAAAGATGGTCGTCGGAACGACGAACCGCTCCTCCTCACGTTACGGCCTCCTAAAAATAAGTGGACTCCGAGCCTAGATACCTAGATAGTAGTCTACGAATAGTCGGCCGCGCCGCCGCGACGGAACTCGTGGCGATTAGTCATGTGAAAGCGAGAAATCCGTCTAGACTGAGAGCTTATTGGAAGAAGAGTTTGAATCTCAATAATTGAACTTTCTTGATTAGTTAGGTAATTAAAAACTTGCATGAGAAATAATCAAGAATGCGATGAAAAAAATAACGAAGTGGTGGAAAAATATCCAAAAGAAATGCGAATGGTAGAAAATATTACTCCTGTGCTTAATCGAACGCGACTAGAGTTTATGATTTATTTAAAAGAATTATTAGATAATGATTTAAGAGATGCCATCATGATGAAAGATCGTCTTGTTTTCGCAATTATATTCCTTGCTTAAGATTTCTCTGTCTTCTAATATAAATAAAACTATATAAAAAACAAAATATATAAAATAGAAAAAATATGTAATGGAATAGAATAAATAAAATAAATTGTAAATTGTATATAAAAAATCTGTGGTAAAGTATGCATATAGAAATTCATGAATATTAATCTTCCTATTTTATAAATTGTGCAAAATCTACACAATACTTAGTAGATATTACAGCGTTTTAATAACGCTCTCCGTCGCGACAATCATCGATCACTACTACTTGTTTTTTTATTCGTGCGGAAATTAATATATGATTTCTCTTTAATATACAATTTTTTTTTAAATTAAGAATATTCAGAGAAATATGTAGATACAGATGATGAAATACGTTTATCACGCTTCACACAAATGTAAAATTGATTTCAAAATATACTCAATTTCATTGAACGACACATTATTAAATTAATAAATTCAAGCTTTGAAACAAATTTTGTTATTAATATTACTTCAGAATCCGAAGATAAATCAAGCAACACCCGATATTTATACCTAAGACTTTCATTACAAATCGTAAAATGACATTAATTATATTATCATCGCAAAGCAAATAATAACTATCTATGGGAGAGTAATTAAGTGATCCACAGGGAATGACTAGGATTTGTGTCATGAGAGAACGTGACATACCTCCTTAATTCACTTGTCCCTTCAATTAAAATTCAATGGCGCATCACTCGCATGGATGAGCGTGCGCGAAACCGATAGATAGTCCGTCACTTGTTGCTTACACTTCGACACTAATCCACACGCGATCCTTAACAAGCGATCAGAATGAAAAGAAGAAAGGAAGGGGAGAAGGTCGAAAAGGTTACTGAACACTCTCGGACAAGATATGGAGAAAGTCGCACTGATACGCGCACGCTTCCTCGCAGCCACGCAACGTCACATCCGCATCCAATCAAATCCGCATCATCATCGAGACTTACTTGAAGCGAGGTATCCGGATATCCTAGGGGAAGGATGAGCGCTTTTCCTTCCGAGAGAGAGGGAGATTTCCTTCCTTTCTAAAACCGAGCGTTTCCTCGGCGACACCTGCGACGGCGAGTAGTCGCTTATTCCTGGATCACTCTCAACCCCCCGAGGCAGACAAACGAGACGCACACACTCGACTCGAGAATTCTACAAGCTCGCGCGAGAACAAAACTTGGGAGAATTATGAGAGAAACTTTTTTCTTTTTTTTTTTCTCAGAGAGATTCGATCGTCGTCTTCGTCTTCGTCTCGGGTCGTCGTCGTCACTCGTCGTGCGGTCGCTCGTTACTCTCTCTCTCTTGCTCCTCTTGTATATCTCCCTTATCCCCTACTCTCTTTTTCTTGCACGGAGTGTCTTTATTCGACCGTCCCAATCGCCGGGATCCCGCGCGCCAACTAAACGCGCGAGGTATCGCGATGCTACCTCGAGGTTCGAGTCTCACCCACCACCTCTCGTGACCACAGCTACCACCACTGCCAGCATGCTCTCAACCGAGAAATCTCTGTCTTACATTCCTACCGAGTCACACACACCTACGCGGTCGCGGGTGCCGCGACGCTATTGATATTGTATAACCATCATCCGTCTGACGGTGTAGTTCTATGCTGGAATCAAATAATCGACAATCTCGATTTCGATTTCCCGATCAATCATCTCATATATCTTTAATTAAGAGATTTGATGAAATTTAATTTTTCCGCTTCTGATAATGGATCTTTTGACCGCGATCTGAATTATTATTAAGCTTTTCATTAACGCGAGCTTCTTATTAAAATTAACAATAAAGTATAATCAAAAGAATTCTTTCAATTCTATCAAAAAATAAATCACGCAAAGATATAATCTAATTGTTGAATAATTCGATACTTATCGTTTGTTAATTTTTAAAACATTTTTACTATTGCCTCAAATTTAGTTTTTATTCTAGGATATTATTGCTTGCTTCTTAATTTAAAATACTTTCTAATCTCTTCTGTAAGATTTTGAAGATTACGATAATCGACGAAATAAAATAAAAACAGAAATAAAAAGCATGTTATATAATCGTGGTCGTATAATGTATGACCATCCCCGTACAAGACCACAGCCGATAAGTGATAACAGTACGATCTGATCAGACGCATCGTTCTCGTGAGGAGAAATAACATTTCTGAGGAATAGTTACTGCGGCGACAATATCATGATAATTGGCGCATTTTCAATTTTGATTTGTAGAGATCGAACTGTGCTATTCAAATGCCAATTTGATGTAACATTAAGAAAAATTCATGTTTTTTTCGTACAGATATGTATCAATTTTGTATTAAAAGTCAATATCTTTTAAATATGTTTCGAATATGTCCATAAATTTTGGAAATAGAGAAAATTTCTACTGAAAATATTAATTGATATATATTTCAATAGAAATAATTAGAGAAAAACATTAGGTATTTTTGTAGCTTATATTTCATTTCCATCTTTCTACTATCATATCATTATTTCGCATAATAATTAATGTGTCTAATAATTGTACTTATATGCCATATTTATACACGGCATATATATCATAGATATATATCTAAAAATGTATTCAATGATCGCTACAAAAAGAAAAGGGGGTCACCTCTTTAATAATTATATAAACACAAAAAATACTATTTGTGCCATTCAACTGAGTCATCTGATATTTACTCGGTATATAGCACAACTCTACGATGTGCAATGATGCAAAATGCAATTCATCGCAACAATATTGTGCAATACGCAAGTAAGTCATTCGCCGACAGACATTCGCAACGAGCGCACACAGTGACTAAAAAGTATTTATTATATATTACTTACCCTTCTTTCGTAATTGAACACGCGTGTGTCACCGAGAGATTCACCGTTATTATATCTAGGATCATTATACAATCATATTTACTTTTACAAAGAGACTGGAAAATTAAAGATTTTGATAGCGATATATTTAAACTATTTTCTAAAAAATAACAAGCATAAAAGAAGAATATTTTTCAAAATATCAATACATAATATATAAAAAAAATATAATTTGGTGGGTGATAAATTTTTACAAAGTTCAATTTTCTTTTTCAAGTATATTTATTATTTTTATGAAAATGGCAAAAAATTTTGAGATTTACATAAAAAGAAATAAATATACTCAAAAAAAAAAAAGGATATGCTCTAAACCATTTCATCTAATAATATTTCTCCATATCATCGATATCTTTGAAAATATTCGCACTTTACGCGCTTGACTCTGTATAACGCTAAATTATTTATAAAGATCCGTAGTTACTCGTATCTTTTTTTAACATTGTACTTATATATAGCCGTGCGAATACACACGGCATTACGTTTTAGCGCATTGACGCGACTCCGTCATTGCGCGTTCTATTTCTTGTCACTGGCGAGTTTGTCATATGGACGCGGCTACACGCGTCGGCAACGAATCTAAAAATGAAACCGCGCTATCGACAGCGAAACTAAATGACTGCCGAAAAGTCACCGGAATGGAATCTCTCACGTTGGCGTCTCGCAGTGATGAAATTAGATAGCACCGCAACACTGACGCGTATAATGCAAGATATGTTTTCTCTCATCTGAGTAGAAAAAAAAAGATAAGGAAAGAATAAAAATAAATCGCACAAAACGATCAGATCTGTTTTCGAGTTTGTCGAGAGAGACATGCAAAATCGACGACAGAAAATATTTGCGACGAAACCTCATTCGCAACATTGCAAAACCGTAGGATTCTGAGTGCTTTTAGTCCGTCAACGTCGTCATATTTAACTGTAATGTACCAAAATAATAAGTAATACATATATATATATACACAAATGCAGTATAACAAATGCTTTACACAATTTTCACGATAGATTCCTTGAATCTGGAATTAATTTTTCATTATAAAAAATTTCAGAGAAGATTATCATTTAATCCAATTTTTAATTTAAATTTGTCAATGAAATTAAAGTCATCATAAAACTTTCTATAATTATTATTAAACAATATTATGTATAATTAATTGATATTCAATTTACTTTGAATGATTTGTTACTGCTAAAGATTAATTGAAGATACAGTAATTTACTTGTTATTATTGAACAAGACCGTCAGTTTACTTTGGACGGCTGACATAGTAATAATCACTCAGCGCATAATGTTGAACAGAAGAACAGGGAAATTATGCAGTATACACAAAGTATTTAGTGATACGAGTCGCCAATTTAAGAGAAATAAGAAACGCCCACACACACATATATTTCTTTAACAAAGATTTACGGATAGACGGAAAATACTTGTAAATTTTATCTCTAAGAAACGATCTTTTTGTACGATGTTTAATTACAGTAATAAATTTAGACTAATTTCTTCTCCTACTAATATAAGCGAAATTACGGCAATAACTCAACGTTGAATTAGCCGTGAAATGACTATATGTTCCGACAATCATATTTCCTCAAACCATCCATGAAGCGTTACAACGAGGGTCTTGAGCTTGAGATGTAATAGAATTATCTTTCTTTTTCTTTTACGATAAACCCGTCGTAGACTGAACACAGAGCCATGTATCACCTTGTTACTTTCTTTAGTCTTGATGCTATAACGATGCGACGACTCAAAAAAAAAAAAGCGAGAAAAAAGCTCCTGGCCTAAGCTCGCCAGATAATTTAGTGAGATGATAAAGCATACACAAACATATTAAGACTACGACATTTAGACTACGAAAACAGCGGCGATTCGAGAGACCATTGTCAAAATATGTCGCTAATCTTTATTTAAATGCCAGATTCCAAAAATAACTAGGATTTGTACAAACTATTTGAGATACATAACAAGATATTAAACTTGAACATAGAACTTTTAACATAAAGAATAAATATTTTTTTGTCTTTATGATACTTTGATACTGGACTATTGTAACTGTTTTAATTTATCTCATTCGACATATCGCGGATTTTCCATTTTTAATTATTTATATTAATCTCCTCAAGAGAATAAATCACGTGACTATGTGTATTATAAATAACAACAGTACGAACATATTGCGCTCATCCGGAAAGTGTTACAACGACGTTCTTATTAAGTTTGCTTGAGAAAGAGAAAGAGAGATCACTGAAGCAGATGGAAACTGGGAGAGAGAGGAAGAATAAGAAGAGAGAAATCACCAAGGGAGAAATCTCACGCGAAGCATCGAGATGCGACTCTCTCGGTTCTGGCAAGCCGAGCACTTTTCTAAATATATACGATCGCCCCTCATCGGCGAATCTATCTTTACGTATTAGAATCTATACCTAACGACTCTACGCGAGTTTCGCTTTTCCACAGTCGACTTTATCAAAGAGACAAATGCGCTTTCAATAAGAAAAAAGTACAACAACAAAAAATTTTAATATTTATATAAAGATATATATTACATATCCTAATAACGTGTATTAAAACAGGCTAGTATCCGATTTAATTATCTTGTAATTAATTAAGAATTAACCGATTATAGTAATGAACCAATTTTGAAATTTCTTTTAATTAAAAGTAATTGTATCTTAAATTAAAAACAAATTAAAATTGAGAGTTTATTTTCATTTCGAGTAAAAATCTACATATTTTTAAAATAAGCTAATTTTTACTCTTGATACTTCTATTCTTCACTAAAAGATAAGAGAATGGCATCTCCACGAGAGAAAGAAATTATCAAAAAATTTATGGACGATCGTTTAGACGGCAAAAATAATTCGAAAAAGCACCGCGACGAGTAGCGTGATGTGGATTCTTTGAATTCATCGTAACTTTTTTTTCCAAACAAAAACACCTTAAGCAATTTGTTTAAATTTCCGAAAAAAGAATATCCCGCGTATCGTTCGGACGTGCTTCGTTTCATTGGAACGGCGGAGTATTAATATCGATTTCGACGCTGATCTCGAACTGATTTACGATCGAAAATACAGAACCCGTTAAAGAGAAACAAGCAACTAGCGAGGCGTAAATTGCGCTGTTGCAGGAGCGAGACTAAGAATGGCCGCGAGAATCAAGGCGAGAAAAATGCCAAAGAGACCTTGGCAATTAGTGCATGTGTAAATAGCGTCTTTCATTTTCTCTCTCTCTCTCTCTCCGGTGGCATATATTCTACATTTCGTGGAAAATAAAATGTGAATCAGAAAGCGACATTCAGCTTCGCCGAAATTTTTGACGTACATCATACGCAACGTTGATGTAACGTGCATTTTCTTACTTGAACCAAATAACACAGGCGTGGCGAATATGAGCAGAGCGTGACCTTATTTTCACGCTTGTTTACGTTTGACTCGCGTAGACTCATGATAATTGTGTCTCACTGTAAGAATTTATGCTCATCGTGATAAAAGAACGATCTCTTTATAATTTCAAAAAATATTCAGTTTGCAGTTATTTTTAATCAAATATTTATATAAATTCCTGCGGAAACTCATTCAGTTCAATGTGAAATCATATATTCTTCGATTATATATATATTTATATTATTATATATTTCATAATAATTCGCGCAGTTTCAATTATATATAAACAGCCGTCAGTATTATTATGATTGATTAATGGTTAATTAATTTTCCCTGATAAAATGTCCATATAAAAAATGAATAAAATAAAATTTCGATATTGAAATATATTTACCATGAAAGAATTTCGCGTTTTTTATAATAATCGCAATGATCATAGAAATAAAAAGCAGACTATGTTCCCGAAGTTAATTATGTTCAGCGAAGTTAATTCAAATCAGATTTGCGGTTTCGTTGTCAAGGATTGTCAAGGATTGCGATCGCGACTCATACGAGAAGAGCGTTTACAAGGAAATCGTTACCGATTTCGCGCTTACACGCGGGTTCGAGTGTAGGCGAACGACTCGAGTATATGGAACAGTCGTTCTAAACTTAGCCGCCAGTCCGTTCTGGAAATAGATGTTATGAGTGCGAGGACAAGACAAGACACTGGCCTATTATATTTGCCGCGGTGTCCTACCCGAAAAGAATACCGATGCACGGATATCGGATCCGTCGATTTGCCCGATCGAACATTTATCGATATCATTCATGCATCTTTCGTATTCGCGCGTGTTATCATGGCTTCGATATCGAAGCCCCACAAGTTCTTTCATTAAATTATAAAAAATGTTTGAAAAAACATAATTAACATTGCCATATAATAAATTATATAAATCTGTACACTAAGTTCTAATAATATTTCTGTGATTGCCG